AACAAACATCTCTAATGCTTTGGCATATATTATATAACATTAACAAGTTAGACTGAAATAAAGAGGTTCCGTTCACTTTCAAACTTTAATCCGATCAGAATACAGTCCACTTTTATCAGGACTACATTAATTTTCTCTATGTCTATGCCATAAAAGGCCTCTCAGGATTAGATATAAAAGCACAGCACAAGACAGTATGGTTAGCAATTCAGCTTCTTATGTAATAGGTTTATCGAGTCAGCATTTAAGGATTTATATTAAATGTCTTTATAATTATGCTAATTGATGGATAACACATAGGTCAAATCTAAAGTACTCAGTACTTCAGATAGCTAAGCAACATGAAATAAGACATATAGTGGCTTAAGTATATTTGCATAATCAAAATATTTAGTATGTGTTTTATTGAGTTATGTCCCTATGACCCCCAGTTAGCTTGTGAACACATTTAACCTGATGTCACATGTGGAGGAGAAGAATGTACAAACTACTGAATTTACATGACTTTTCTGCCATTTACCTACTTTTGCTTTTTAAAAACATAAATGCATAGACTCCCTGGTTATATCAGCAATCAAGTACCCATTGTCAATGACAATTTGAATTTGCCTCTTCAATTTTCATTACCTCAATAATGTTTGATTCTCACCAGACATATCTGTTTTACTAGGTTTGTGTCATAAACACAGCCAGTTGAACCACATTTGTTCAGTGGTTTTCTCATGTGGATGCAACAGGAAAGGACTAGATGAGCAACATACATAAACTCATGAAGCCACCTTGTTTACCCTTATCTATTCACTTAAATATCCCCTGTACCTACTCAAAAGTTCCACAGACTCCATAGGATTAGTAAGTGAAAAATGGTCTTGTGTCACCTGTACATTGAGGACCCTGAAGCCCAAATCTCTGGATGACTTCTTTTGGATAAGTAGCACTTGATACAAGATATACCACAGCCATCAGGATAGAATCCCCACAGCACTATGCCTTACAAATATAAGCTAACCAAGCAATTCAGAAGGATGGCCATCAGGATGGAACTGGGATCCCCACAGCACTATCCCTCACAAACAAGCTAACCAGAGGGATATCCACAAAGAAACTTGGTAAATATAGGAGGTTGTTCAAGGGTATCACAGATTCAGAAATCTACATATGATTTTTCCCCCAGGGATTTAACCTCTGTCTCCATAAAGATTTCTGCACAATTCTCTCCTTTAAAGATGCATTTGTTACTTTTGAGATCCAGAAACCCAGCCTCTTAATGGTGGATATTAAGAGATAATAATAATAATAGGAATAATAATAAGGAGGGGTAATTAGAAGATTTGTGATGCAGTAACTAGACTTTGCTCCTCTGTGAAACATATACGTACCCATAGATTTCAGAAGCTGAATGTTTTCATAATGGGACCAAGACATGCATTAGCTGCACCCATTCCCAACATGATCACACTGTAATATCCAACTGTTAAAACTCTTACATCCAGTTCATAGATGTGAATGCTTTGTAAATGCAATGCAGATAGATGAAAATAAATGTTGGAGTGTTTCTACTCTGGGCTTTAAGATGTATGCTAAATAGGTCCCTAACCCACTAGAAATACAATATCTGGTTAGCACAAAGGTGAGAGATAAGCAATTCTTCTATACTTCAATCATCACAACACAGTAGGCCAACAATGAGCACTTTCCTAATGATGTTTATTGATGGTCTGCATCACTCTGTCATTCCAAGTGGTGACTAAGATCTAGAGAGGATCTCCTGCTTAAACTAGAGGAAACTCCCACAGAGAAGTCAGGAAATTATATGATTTAATCAATCTCCAGGTCAGACCATATAAACCATTCCCACACTTTTGCAGAGGTTACACTGTCTCCCATCCCAGAAAAAAGGCAAGGTATACAACTAAAAAAAACAGATATTTAAAGAAGACAAAATATATTTAGCATAATTAAACACATTACTCAAATGTTTAAGTAAAATATTTTGGGGCTCATCTCAGTGTACATATCCATAGGTCTTGCATGCAAATGGCACATGCAATAATCACTTTCATTTTCACTGAATCCTTTCAATGTTCTAAACAATTGATAGAATTGGATTCCACACACAAAGAAAAGCTTTCACTTTTTTGGCAACTATATATTAAAAATAGTATATTTATTTGGGAAACAAATTACTTTGAAAGACAGTGCAGTCTAGTCTTTCATTGCTGTAGATATATTTTCTTATACAATAGATACCACTAATGTTTAAGTACTGAGAAAAGTAATTAATATCTTGAAAAAGCGATGCATTTCAAAAGCTGATTTAATAATTGTTCAGTTCAATACACACATGAAATTTGTCTACACTTAACAGAAAAAAAATGCATTGATCACATTGTTGAAACTCTTTCAATGTGTATATAGATCTTTTCTTCAATGCAAGTCTTCTTCTATGAAATATATTCTTCAGATCTAGTTTTGCATGTGTGATAGATATGTGATGTGCCAGCATTATATATTATATTCTTCCTCCCATGCACACACCTCCTGCAGAGATAGCAGACTACAGAAGCTGACCCTTACTGAGACCATCTTGTCTAACTGACAAAGCTCCTTTTTAACTTCTTACTTACTGCTTACTTCCTGCGATGGGGAAAACTTTAGCTCTGCTTGTGATAATTTCACAGGCCCTGAGTACCATGACCCCAAAAGACCCAAGGTCAGAAGTCAAATCGTGTTCTGAAACATCTGTGTGCTTCATATTAAAGTAGAACAAAAGTGAAGAAATATCCACCAGCATGACAAGAGAAACAAGCAAAATGGAAATGACACATTGGTCATCTCTTAGCCATGCCATCTCAAGCCAGTGACTAAAAAGATCTGGGTGGGGGTGCATCAGTTCAAAACTATTCAGATTCTTAACTCTATAGGCAAGTATTCATCTTTTATATAAAAGATTAGCAAATTCAACATTGCTTATCCTATCCTTGACATATAAAACACTGACCAAATAATCTGCTGCAAAAAATCAAAAGTAGGTCAACCTTATTCATTTTCTAAAAAGTTATCAAAAGTTACACGTGAACAATACTTTTCATAAGAAAGATTTTATTTCATATTTATAAGCAGAACTTGGCAGGCAACCTTTTCTGGTTACAACAGGTGCTGATTTTTTAAAAATTATTGGACACATCCGCTAAATATTTGTGATGCTCCAGTAATAATTATTTTATTCAAAACTAACAGCGGAAAAAAACAGCAAAGCAACAATACAATAAAAAACTTGCTTCTTGAAAAACAAAACCTAACCCCAGTAGTGGGAAAACTGGGAAATCAGAATAAAAAGAATACATTTATTGTTATTTGCCTAGTTGTGCCAAATAATAACTTTACAAAAATGTCTAGCAAGCAAAGAAAGCAGGAACTTCTACTTCCTAAATCAAGTTATCAATGGGTAAACAAACCATACCATTAATTTTACTTGTAGGATTATCACCTCCCATGTAAAATCCATAATGTCATTCATCTCCATTATATACTGAAACCAAAATCACTTCTAAGGATATGCTTTGTATTTTTGTTTCTGGCCACATATTTAGTGTATTTCTACTAGTACAGCTTGCCATCCATATCCACGGATTCTGTATCCATGGATTCAACAAATCCTCTAATTGAAAATATTTTTTTTTAAAAAAAAATCAAATGCAAACCTTGATTTTGCCATTTTATGAAAGGGACTTGAAGATCTATTGATTTTGGTATCCACTGAGGGTCCTAGAATCAAACTCCAGCAGATGCCAAGGGCACACCACATATACATTTCTATCAGTTAGACTAATGGTAGTATCTTTTTGAAGCTAACCATTCTAGAAGAAAAAAACCTTCTAGAATAAGTTTTTTTTTCCAAACCATAAGTTTCTTCCTGGTTAAAAAATCATATGTGGAAGGATGAGCAATTAAAGTGTGAGAATCACTCAGATCTCATGTTAATGGGAAATGGCATGGAGGAGGAGTCTGCTTTTCAGGCCATGCCCCAAATGGCCTGAGTTTATTGGGAACAGCAAAGACAATAAAATAACAATATTATTTGGTTCTCCATTTGAGAATGCAACCCCCCATCCCACAAAAAAATGTTTTCTTTATTTACTGGCAGATTTCAGTTAGAATGTGAATGGGTCCTATCACAGTAACTTAAAGCAGCTCTATTGGTTTGCAGTATTTTCCTAAGAATGTATTATTCCCAAGCTTCCACTTCACTTCCTAAAATTGTGGTTTCATCTTCAAATATTTCTCCTTTGAATTAATCTTTCATCCTTTCATCTCTTGTATTTTGTCTAAACTTTATTCCTGAAATAAGTGGAAGAGAGAGAGAGCATCACTTCTCATTTATACAATGACGACACCCCAGTTCAAACATCCAAAAGACTAACTGTCCTAAGTAGATATTGAAAAGCGTGAATCCTGAGGCACCTGAAAAGTTAATGGCAACAGGATGGAACAGATATTTCACAGCACCATTTTCTGGGACTGTGAATGTAGGCACTACAAGATGCACTGTTAACAGACTGCCTCCAAGTCTCATCACAGAGAAATAACTAAGATACCATAATTAATAGTATTAAAAGTGCTGAGCTATCCAGGAGAACTAACACAGTTAAATGAATATTTATCTTAAATAACTGAGAAAGAAATGCCTCCCCACAACACAGCATTCACTATGTAAGCTGATTTGTAATTCACCTTCACTAGTCTGCATTAACCAATGCCATGAATTCTTTCTCCCTTCTGACTTCAAAACTACAGTTGGAGATGGAGAATAGTGAATCAATTATTTGATCCCAATATTTAGCAACAAATATGTCTGTAGCATATAAATGGAAAAATAATGAACATACTCATACGATGCAAAGCACGGATAATTGCAAATCTGTATTTTTTTTAAAAGGGAAATTCAGCAAATATATAAAAACAGATGATAAAAGGAATTGTGATATGTAAGGACTTACCAGTTCAACGAATGCAAGTCCACCATAACTGTGAGCAACAAAAAATACATTTTCTGCTGCTGACTGGGAGATAAAGTGGTCCCATACGTAAATTGCATGTTCTTCAGGGGATCCATTTTCCTAGAAAGAGAAACTAACATTTATTATGAACTATGGTTATTTATACAATGTCCAAGTTATAACAGGTGCTTCACAAAATAGTAAACATGAAATCTCTACCCAAAAGTTTCATAAGCTGAACAGGCAAAAAAAAAAAAAATACCACTGGTGGGAATAAAGGTTACAAAATGTGTATCAAAACAAATAATCAAAAACATCCTGTACATTCCCTTGGAAGAGTGTGAAATAACTTAATTTGTACTTGGGTTGCCCTTGTATCTTTAAAAACCCCAAAATAAAATAAAGACATAATAAGGGAAAGTTATTTTTACAGGACCTTTAAAAGTTGACAGTGTCAAAAGGGTTAAGAAATCCATTAAATCCATCCCTACTTGGAAGAACTACGTAGGAATGGTAGGAATGAAAAATACTGGTTTGAACTTGGCAAGAGGAGTGGAAAAAGCAAATAATAATTACTCTTTGTATACGCATTTTACTCTACAAAAAGTTTAAATATCTTTAACATTTAAATAAAATTATCATAAGCTGAAAATTTATTTTCGTGACTAAATCTTCACTCCATGAAAAAAGAAAGAGAAACTTTTTTGTTTCTCGCCCTCCTGGAAACTTCCTGCTGTTTGTTAAAACTGCTATAGAGCGGTTTTAGTTGATATTGTATTGTGTTGTATTGTACTGTATTAATTGTTTGTTTTTTATCTATTGTGTTATTGCTATTGCATTTTATTGTAACTGTTGGCATCGAATTGTGCTGGATGTAAGCCACCCTGAGTCCCCCCCCCCCAGGGGGTGAGAAGGGTGGGGTAGAAATGTCCGAAATAAATAAATAAATAAATAAATAAACAGCACTAAAAAGCTCAAGTCGCAGACTTCAACCTAAGCTGTTTATTGTTATGTGGCAGGGAACAGGGAACACGGAGAGTAAACAGGGAACAAAGATATGCTCTTTTCTTGTCCTTCTATGTCTGAGACCTTCTGGTACAAATTTTCCCTTTTTCTTAGTTACTCAATTGCCTTTAACAAATTAAGATTTTACTTTTTCTTGATGTTGCTCTGCACTATCAAGTCAAACATGACTTATGGTGACACTATCATAGGGTTTTCTTGGCAATATTTATACAGGGGAAGGCCACTGTTTTCTTCTTAGACAGAGTGAATGTGACTTGCTCAAGGTCATCAAGTGGGTTTCCATGGTGAAGCTAGGATTCAACCTCTATTTTTAAATCTAACACTCAGAAAACTGTACCACATTGGCACTCAAATTTTACCTTACGGATAGATTTTTAAAGATAATTTGGGAATCTAGGTATATAAAAATATTACTTTTTGCACTGATGGTCCTATTAGTATTGCCCATCTAATACGAAACAAAGCTAGCAAGGATAATAAATGAACAGTTTGGAGTCATCTATGGAATCGTACCTAGCAAAAGGAATAAACAAATGCAAAATGTTAATTTTTGGTTTGGATGGGAACACCAACCAGAAATTCAATATAGGAATACAGATAAACTACTCAGCCTACTTCAAAACACTCAATTTCTAATCACAGTACAGATGAAAATATTGAAAGACAGTTCTAGAAACATGCTCTCCTGAAGAATTCTCTCCATCTTCTGATTCTAGAACATGGCCATACAGCCCAAAAAACCTAGAATGACCCAGTGATTCTGACCATGAAAGCCTTCGACAATACATTGAAGGAAAGAATTTATGCAATTTAATCAGTAGTGCTACAACACAAAGATATCTTTTTGTTTTAAAGCTAATTGTGGATATATTACTCTTTTTTTGTTGTGTCAGGAGCTACTTGAGAAACTGCAAATTGCTTCTGATAAATAATGACATCCTATTAGCGACATATGCAGGTTATGTCCATGTAGGGCAGTGGTTCTCAACCTGGGGTCCCCAGATGTTTTTGGCCTTCAACTCCCAGAAATCCTAACAGCTGGTACACTGGCTGGGATTTCTGGGAGTTGTAGGCCAAAAACATCTGGGGACCCCAGGTTGAGAACCACTGATGTAAGGACATTGAGGAAAAGCATTTTTGTGAGCAAAACACTTTGAAAACTATTCACAAAGGTTTTCTGATGGTTCCTACATCTTACTTTGAGATATTGTTCAGCAATCTGAACAACTCTGCTGTCCAGATTTGTGCAAATAATACATACAGTAAATTTCTTTCACTACTATTGCTGCCAGAGTATGACCTAAAATAAGCTATAGTCCACATTCAATCATATTCATCATGAATCTTATTCTATGGTTGTTCTCACCGTCATCCTTCATATTTCATTGTTGCCTAATAAACTACAGACTGTAAAGTTCTACAAGAAAAAAGAATGTGCTTAGGAGCAATTATGTGTCATCTGCATCAGTCATCTCTGTATGCCAGAGGTCAACTAGGGTATCAACAGAACTGTCAACCCTGTAAACAGGAAACTTTTGGAGCTGTCAAGAAACCAAACAGATCCATCAATTTACAGGGACAGGCCATCTTAATTGTCCCCTCATCCTTGTAGAGCTGCAAAGTTGTTGAGGCCATCCAGTCCAACCCCCTGCCAAGAAGCAGGAAAATTGCATTCAAAGCACCCCTGACAGATGGCCATCAAGACTCTGCTTAAAAGCCTCCAAAGGAACCTCCACCACACTCTGGGACAGAGAGTTCCACTGCTGAACAGCTCTCACAGTCAGGAAGTTGTTCCTAATGTTCAGGTGGAATCTCCTTTCCTGTAGTTTGAAGCCACTGTTCCACATCCTAATCTCCAGCATAGCGGAAAACAAGCTGCTCCCTACTTCCTATGATTTCCCCTCACATATTTATACATGGCTATCATGTCTCCTTTCAGCTTTCTCTTCTGCAGGCTAAACATGCCCAGCTCTTTAAGCTGCTCCTCACTGGCCTTGTTCTCCAGACTCTTGATCATTTTAGTCATCCCCCTCTGGACACATTCCAGCTTGTCAACATCTCCCTTCAATTACAGTGCCCAGAATTGGACACAGTATTCCAGGTGTGGTCTGACTAAGGCAGAATATAGAGGTAGCATGACTTCCCTGGATCTAGAAACTATATTTATTTATTTATTTACAATATTTATATTCCACCCTTCTCACCCCACATGGGATTCAGGGCGGATTACAATGTACATATGCATGGCAAACATTCAGTGCCATAGACACACAACACATATAGACAGACAGTCAGAGGCTATTTAACATTCCAACTTTTTCTGGCCACCAGGGGAGCTGTCTCTTCACTGTCCATCTGCGACACTGACAAAGTACTTCCTCATTCCCCGCACGCTTTTGCTGGAGATTTTTTTATGGCCTTGTAAATTAGTTAACTTAGCTTCCCCATATATGTAGTACCTAATTTTCCTACCTGACAGATGCAACTGTCTTTTCAGGTTGCAAAGGTCGACAACAAGCTACACAAAATTGGCTGGAAGCTCACTCCGACCTGGGCTGGCTTCGAACTCATGACCTTTCAGTCAGTAGTGATCTTAATGCAGCTGACTCCCAGCCAGCTGCGCCACAAAAATCAAACTGCATAAACTTGTTCAACTCAGGTCAAGCTTCCAAACACTCTTCAGAGTTAGCCCCATGTAGATTATGTTGCAGTTATGCAACCAGAATGTTATGAAGACACGTGTCACTTTGGCTAGATCTCACTTCTCAATGAATAGGTGCAGTTGATGCAAAGGCACTTCTAGCCACTGTAGAAACCTGAGCTTCCAGGATCCTGAATCCAGGAACACACCCAAGCTTTTCACCTGTGTTGTAAGGGGAAGGATAACCCCATCCAGCACTGGCTGCAACCGTATTCCCTGGATAAAGAAATGACCAATCCATGATGAAGTGGTAGGTCCTACCCTTACTTCCAATCTTGTGATTATTCTCACCTTGTCCAACATAATATATTAGATCAGAAGTATTGCCTGCCACAACCATGCTATTCACACAAAATTGTGTAGTTTCATAAGTAACATTTGACCATCCCTGTAAATTGTTATTTAAAGTATTTCTCCAAATACCCCTGTCACCTGAAGAATGGTAAATAGTGATTGAAGATCAGCTTTTCAATGGTGGCTCATTGTCACTGGAATGCCCTCAAGAGCATCATTTAGGTTCTCTGCAAAATATTGCTGTTTTCTAAAACTGCATTTTCTGAAACATAACCTTGATTTTAATGAAAAACTATTGATCTCCTAATTTGCGTTTGTTCAGATGAAAATTTGTTTTTGAAAATAGTATTTTATAGTAACATCCTACTTGATTATTTACTAAGAAAAACAATAAATACTCTTGAATACAAATATATCTGAAAAAGACCCGATGGGTTCTACCATTGCATTGTTATTAGAAACTACCCAGGGTAAGTTTTTATTAGACAGAATGCAAATCTTATAAATAAAATGAAACATAAACTCCTATGTCATTTATACAAAAGCCTCTTTATTTATTTGACTATTTTATGACACCTTTCAAGATCCCTTAAGATCTTGACATTGGACTGCGTGATTTTAAATAAGCAGTTCTTAATTATTGATATGTTTTAGTCACCTACGGATGTGAGAGCTGGATCATAGGGAAGGCTGAATGAAGGAAGATAGATGCTTTTGAACTGTGGTGCTGGAGGAAAGTTCTGAGAGTGCCTTGGACTGTGAGAAGATCCAACCAGTCCATACTTCAGGAAATAAAGCCTGACTGCTCATTGGAGGGAAGGATATTAGAGACAGAGTTGAAGTACTTTGGCCACATCATGAGGAGACAGGAAAGCTTAGAGAAAGAAAATGGAAGGAAAAAGGAAGAGGGGCCAACCAAGGGCAAGATGGATGGATGGTATCCTTGAAGTGACTGGCTTGACTCTGAAGGAGCTGGGGGAGGTGACGGCCGAAAGGGAGCTCTGGCGTGGGCTGGTCCATGAGGTCACAAAGTGTCAGAAACGACTGAACGAATGAACAACAACAATGTTTAGTGATTGTTTTAATGTTTATGTTTATT